GAACGTTTAGACAGACTGAGCCGGCAGGATTTAGGGCTTTACAGCCTATTTAATGAAAAGACTGTTACAAAGTGGAACGTTGTTTTTCCCCTTTTTTTTTTTTTTTTGGTTTGTTTGTTAGAACTTGACCATTTTAATGACTCAGACATGCCAGGATTCTTTCTGACTGAAAGCTTGAAGGCTCTTCTGTAAAAATCTGGGCTTTGCACACGAGATTTTGGGACCCAAGTCAATCACACTGTGTAAAAGGATATGTCAGGACTAGTATGCCAGTACACCCTTAGCAAGAATTTGCTTACCCAAGTTATCAGTACATATTGATAGTTGATGATATAATCACTATGAACTATGTTTAGAATTAGCTCTAAATTAGTTCTTGTCAGGGTTTGGTTCGGCTCATATAGATTGTCATTTGTGGTATTGGTACTCTGGGGTTTGCAATCCTTGCTTATATGTTTAATTCTCTCCTATTTTCTGTTTACTCAAATTGTATAATCAATTCCTAAAACAGCTGCTCTCATCCACATGTGTTAATGGTGTGTTTGTTGTTGGAAAACAAAATGGGGTCAATTCTGACTCACAATCAGTCTATTTAGATAATGCTTGTGACCGGTAAATGGATTGAATTTACCAGTAACAGTAACCACTCAAAGCACTTTAAACTGGAGCCAGAATTCACCATTTACACTTGCAAACCCACACAACTTGGGGTTTAAGTGCCTTGCCAACATCGACATGTGGCAGGAGGAAACTGCCTACAACCTACAACCTTCCGATTCCAAGATAATTACTCTACTCACTGAGCCACAGTGGCCCATTTTTGGCAATTTAATTGCCTCACAACAGCTAACAAAATTGTCATGCAAATTAAAGTCACTTGGCCTGTTATTTCAGCTCTACCTACTTGCGTAATCAAGAGAGAAGTAAGAAGAAAAACAATGCATTAAGCTGAAACTTCATTTCTTTGTCTTTGCTGCAAACCCATCTAGAGGCCCCTGATTGACAAAAAGAGCCTAAAGATTATGGGAGATCCATTTGTTATTGTTATTTGATTATTGGGTTACAACAGTGATTGCCTCTGTCTGCGTTACAGTGCCTGTGGCCACACACAGCTCTCCCCTTGGAGGAGAAAAGCGTCACATCTTTGTGCATGCTGCACCAAAGGCTTTCCCATATTTACTAAAGCTCTGACTGAATGACCATAAAGTGTTGCCAGGATGAGCTGCCCTCATTTCCAGGTTAATCCTTAAGCATCATTTATTTTAATTTTGATGTCAAGCATTACATGCAATATCATGACAGGTACATTTGAAATGGTTATTTTAAAAAAAACAAGAACATTTTGAGTTTTCCTCTTAAAAAATGTCTTAGTTTTATGCATCTGTCAAAAACAGGTTCCAGTTTCAATCAAACCAGTTGCATATGTAAGCTTGAAAACTCAAAACACATTTCACTTTATCAGCGTCACTCAGTTTTCTGCTGACTTTTTTAGTGTTACCTTCCTCGCAATGAGATTCTGGACACCGCAGTCTCTTTATTTGTTTTTCCTTGTAGCCGCAGATATTTTGTTCACACCAGGAGTTTGTAAAGGGCAGTCTCGAAACATTGCTCTAACAATACATTGACTTCTTTAAAGAAAGCTCTTTCTGTAAACACGTCACCTAAGATGCACATAACTTCTTTTATTTGGCCATAAAAGGAATATCTCAACACATCAACACATACAGCATTAGTCTGCAGTAAGCTCAAAACTTGCCCTTAGTGATGTGTTCATTTGACGCACTAGGCTAATCTCAC